TATATATATATATATATATATATATATATTTGCATTCATATAGGCATACACATACAACCAAATAAGTAAATGCATATATATACATATGTTTATTTATTTATTTATTTATTTATTTGTTTATTTATTTGTTTATTTATGTATTTGTTTATTTATTTATTTGTTTAGCCAGGATGCGCGAGTTTTGTTTTTTCTGTCATTTACATATTAATTTATATGTTTGTACTATTTATTTATTTTATGTGTTTATATACATGTATATACATATATATATATATATTTATCTATTTATTTATTTATTTGTTTATTTATTTGTTTGTTTGTTTATTTACTTGTTTAGCCAGGATGCGCGAGTTTTGTTTTTTCTGTTTGTCACGCTGAGGGCTACGACCTGCGCGCTGTATATCAGGAGGCAGTGCAGTGAGTTTCATATATCGGGGTGTATATGCAGCTCAATTATTATAGATAAATAAATAAATAAATAAACATACATATATATATATATATTTATTTATTTATTTATCTGTTTATTGTTCTATAAGGCTTGAAGTTATAGCTGTTGTGTCTGAAGAGATAAAAAAATAATAATTATATATATCTGTACGGATTGTTTGTATTTTAATTATTTTAATTTAATATTAATTTAATTATTATTTGTTTTATGCTCAGGAAACACATTCGATGCCGTCTTATTACTGAACAGCGCAGCGCTTTAGTGCTGGAAGTCGATAACTCATTATATTTCACAGACCCTAAGGTCTGTTGTTTTTAAAGTATTTATTTAAATAATTATAAATAAAAAGAAGCAAAAGAATAATAAACAGAGTATTATTATTAGCTGGCGTAAAGAAGTAATGTAAATATTCATATCATTATAATAATTATAATAATAATAGTAATAATAATAATTTTAATATTAATATTATTTATTTATTTACTTCTCAAGACCTTCTTCTCTATGTCGTATTACAACAATGCCGATCGCATGCAAATATATTCAATATTTGCGTATTGCTGTCTCTGTGGGGTGTATCTGTAGCTGCGGCTGAGGATGTACATACTACATACTGTCTAGGGTTTAGGGTTTAGGGTTTAGGGTTTAGGGTTTAGGGTTTAGGGTTTAGGGTTTAGGGTTTGAAGAGATGGTGTTGCTGGGGTTATGTTAATAATTACATGTTGCACAACAATGAGAATCTTATTTTTTTTCTCACACCTCAACATAATTACTATTATTATTATTATTATTATTATTATATTTATTACATCGATTATATTTAATGTTATTTATTTATTTATTTATTTATAATGATTGTGTACAGGTGCGAAGCCAAGAGGCGTTTGAAGCAACGTGCGGAGCACACGGGCCTCTGAGCTGTTGTTCAAATGCAGATATAAATGAAGGGGTGCGCTCGTGGGCGTCTGCTGTCTTAGGAGACAGAGAAATAAATAGAGATGTAGATAGAGACTTAGAGCTTAGTCTAGATAGAGGTAGAAGCAGAGATAGAGATATAGATACAGATAGATATATTGATATAGATGTTGATGTTGATTGCTATAAAGATACAGATTTAGATAGAAATACAGACAGAGACAGAGACAGAGACAGCAGCTACCCTTGGGCGTGGGCCGATCCTACAGCAGCAAATACTGCAGCGGCAGCAGCAGCAGCAGGAGCTGCAGCAGGAGCTGCAGCAGGAGCTGCAGCAGAAGGAGCAGCAGAAGGAGCAGCAGAAGCAGCAGCAGCAGGAGCAGCAGCAGGAGCGGTTACAATCGCTGCTGCTGCTGCTGCTGCTGCTGCTGAAGATGTTGGTGGCGGAGTTGAGTACGATGTTCGTAATGAATCCGTCGAGCGTAGCTGCTGCATGCATTATACATCATCAGAGTTTGAGGCAGCAGCAGCAGCAGCAGCAGCAGGTGCGCGATCTCTTCGACGAGGGCATAGAAGGTTTGTGCAGCTAAGACAGCAGCACAAAATAATTAATATGTCTCTCGCATTCGTCTTTGAGAACGGCCCTGTTGTTCTCTGGATAAGCCCCAAAGATAAACGAGCAATGCATGCGCGAGGGCGTAGAGAGATTATTTCTTGTCTTCTTTTCTTCCTAAGTCATTTTGCTTGTACGTCTTCATATATATATATATTTATACTTATTTATTTATTTATTTGTTTATTTATTTATTTATTTATTATAA